AAGAGCGTCCGATACGCTCTCAGTCGTCTCATAGCACGTGATCATGGGTTTCTCGTTTTAGACTCGACATTGAATCCCCTCGTAGTCCTGCTGCTGCCTGTCGTTGCGGGTGGAAGCAGGTTCTCCCGTTTTGCCAGTTGCTACGATGAGGTTCCTCTCTATTGAGGTAATCGTTTCCCCTTAACCGATGTATCTTGCACAGACAGCGTTCTTTGTTAACCAGAAATTCGACGGTTCTGTGAAATAAATATATTCTAGATTAGCTGAAATTTTTGTGGCATTATTAAGGTGACAGTGGCTCGTGTGACTTCCATTTATCTCATGTTTGATGTTGAACTTGAAGATGATTAATCGAACAACGATTAACGATATTACCTTCGATTTTTGGCGACACTGTGATGGTTGAGTTTGTGAATGGTGCTAATATTATTTTTAATTGATAATATTAAAGAAGTTGTTTCTTGTTATGTTGATATTGAAAATTACTAACAATTTTTCGTGTTAGCTGAAAAGTGAAAATAAATGTGAATTTTTAGAAATGTATACCGTTTTAAATAAGTAATCGATATTTAATGATTTTTTGGCTTCTTCTTTTAAAGAAAATGTTGCTTTTTATTTTATAATTGATTGAAAATTAAATCGTGACTGTACAATGCAAAAGTTTCGAATCAAAGGACGGTAAGTGCAAATAATGACATTTTTGTTTTTCTACTTTTCTGACAGAAAATAATTTATATGATTCCAATATTTCAAATAAAATATATTATTTAAATATTATGAATATGTGTCATAAGGGAAGTAGTATGTTCTTTTTCAAATTTTTCTTATAGGAATAATGAATGATAATGAACTGCATTGCGACGCTGTATGTTGCGGATGTAATTAACACAATCAGATTTTATTTGTAGAAATAAAAAAATATACAACAGCATTAGCTATTTTCCTGAAGAATAAATTAGAATAAAGAATAAATTATAAAATTTTTAATTAAAATTTTAATTAAAAATTTCTTGCATTACATATTTACATGTTTAAAAATTTTTGTTAAGTTATTTTGTTGGAAGATGACCACAGATGAAACAATTTAAATTGTGAAATAAAATTACTAATACTCTTTCCTCATTTTCAAGTACTGTGATTTTAGAAAATTAATGTACTTGTTAAACAATGCTACTATACATATACGAAGCAGTATAATCGATAAATGAAAAACACCTATATCAAGGGCATTTATGAAAAAATAGAATCATATAAATGTCAGGTATCTAGTTTTTGTGTCAATATACAATCCTCACAAGTCTGCTTAAACTCTTGCTTGTACTACTAGCTATAACGCTACTATACCAACTTCATTCTTTAACGTTGCAATATAGTATATCTGTTCTATCTACACTATTAGTGTCAAAGCAACATAAATTTCTGAAACACTTTATAAACGATATTAAAGAAAATTAAAAAAGATAAAGCACTAAATACATTGCGAAAATAATTCTCATTAAAAAAAATTAAAGTAAAAAAAAGTTTTGAAAAATGTCACGACATTTAATTACATCGTAAATACAAAATTATAGTCAAGCAATGAATACCTTTTTTCTATTAACACGGCAAAGTGTAACAGCAATGTAACAACTCATTAACGGTTTCAGATTCGAAAATAGTTCATCGAACGTAGGGGTGGGTAATCAACCAGGATCAATGGCGGTCGATATTTTGGACGAGGACCACTTTGCGGTAAGCGCGATTGTCACCGTTGGAATGCAAATCATCTTCTTCACGATTGCAGCGACTTTCCAACTGGACAAGCTGACGGATTTTGCTGGCGGCACAAACTTCATCATCCTCGCCCTTCTCACTTTCTTTCTCGGCCAAGTGGGCAAGGTATTCTAATAATAAAACCACTTCTGTGCACGTGTGCATGCAAATGAACACAAGAGAATCGTTTAATCAGAAACTAGTGGGAAGAAACATTGAAACGTTTGTTTCAATCGCCATAGTTTATTTCTTTAGGATAGTTTGTTTTCAAGAGATTCATGGCTGCCAACAATGGCGCCATTAGGCGATAATTTGAATACTCTCGTTGGTTTTTAGAAGTCATTAATCTCTGTATCAAATTCATTTTATTAAATACTATAAAAAATAACGTTATTTATGATTGTATATATTATTTTTTATATTTTGTAGCCTTATGATAGCAGACAGCTTATGGTTACCATATTTGTGTGCTTATGGGGTGTTCGTCTTTCCGGATATCTGTTGTATAGAATTATCAAAATTGGTCGTGATAAGAGGTTTGAAGATCGCCGCAGCAATGTGATACGTTTCGCTGTGTTTTGGACATTTCAGGTAATATCAGTGTTGTATAATTTACAATATATATCTTCCTTTTTTAAATATATACTCATTAAAATATATTTTCAGGCTGTATGGGTTTATGTGGTAAGTTTACCGGTAATTATCATTAATTCGCCGCGGCACAAAATACCACCAGCCCCTAAAACTATGACAACATTAGACAGCGCCGGTACGGGCCTCTTCGTGACTGGTTTACTAGCTGAAACTTATGCCGATTTACAGAAATTTTCTTTCAAGCAAGATCCAGTGAATAATGGCAAATGGTGCAATGATGGTACATTGTATACAGAAATCTCTTTAACTTATTAAATTAATCTCTATCTTTTAAAGATAATAAATTAGATTATATTTTATTATAGGACTGTGGCGGCTATCTAGACACCCAAATTATTTTGGAGAAATAGTGGTATGGTGGGGTATTTTCGTGATATCGTTGAACGTAATCGAAGGTATTGAATGGATCGCTATAGCCTCTCCAATCTTTACTACGTTCATCATCCTATTCTTGTCTGGAATGCCTCTATTGGAAAGAGCTTCCGATGAGAGGTATCGTGAGTAAGTTTTCAGTTTTCAGTACTTATAGTCCTTTAACAATCGCGTCGATATATCACGTTATAAATCAATTTTAAATCCTTGGGATAAATTTCTATTATATCTTCAAAAATGTGTTCTGTAACTCGTACTTCATTTGTGCTAACAAAATCTGGTATATAAAAATATTTTATCATTTTTTAGTAATGCAGAGTATCGCTATTACAAGCAATCCACATCTCCATTAATACCAATGCCACCATCTATCTACGTTGAGGTGCCATACTTCCTGAAATTTCTCTTCTGTTGCGAATTTCCTTTTTATGATTCGTTGGACGTAAAACCACGCTCAGCTGTCACTGAATCGACATCAATAAGCCTCGCTGCCTCCACGTAGCTATAGTCACACGCCGGACGACCAAATTCGATGTCCGGCGTGCAGCCATCCACGGCTAGCACAGCCTTTTGAGGAGGCTGCCATGATTCTTTGCATTTTATCATTCGCACTGTTTTTTCAAGTTGCTTCACTCGGTTACGAGTGATGATTATATTACATACACCTCTACGTAATTAAGAATTGGAGTAAATTGAGAAATTATACACTATGTTTTTGAGACAAATTTGTTGGCATTGCACTTTTTATACTTTGCAAATTACAAACATTGAAACTTCTTGTAATTTGAGTTTAGTAAGTACAGAAACCGTTGTTGTATAAATAAATAGGAGTAAACTGGTGATAATGAAATTAACGTGTATTACGATATTTTGCTAGTCTGTTAACTAAATTGGAAAAATTATTTTTTAAATTGAACTCAAAATTAAATTTATTTTATATCTTTCAATGTTTAGGAGATTAAAAATTCTCGAAAGTATAATACAGCAGATTTATCTATAACACGGATTCATATAACACGATACAATAATTATTCACAGCGGCAGATAGGTTTATATCTTCGCAGTGTAGTGATACAGTGTATTTATTGCATTAATAAGAAACAGGTGGTTGAAATGATGTAGTAAAGTCGTAAGTTAAAACATTATGCGAAAATAATGCCCGAGTCGCGTCCGAAGCTGCACTCTTACAATACAAAATGTATATTCCCCGTGTTATACGTAGATCTAATGTATCAAGAGATATAGAAAAACGTAAAAAATTAAATCAAAGTTAAAGTCGTAATTACACTACCTCGTACATGATGCACTCGATTAAAAATTGAGTCCATCATGATATTTAGATTAATATATTTAAACTTTAAAAATTGATTATATATATAGAAATAAATGTCTGACAAATTATTCTAGAAATTCAGAGCTATATAGTTTATGCTAAATTTCCTTTTGTTTCATAAAATACTTGGCAGTAAATTGTTCTCAGTCTTGAGTATACATTTGTTTAAATATTAATCTTCTATACAAAAATATTTAATTTTCATTTTAAGAAAAACAGGTAATGAGACTACCGGTTATATTTTGATGACAATTTTCAGAACATAATTAAAAATATTTTTGGACCAGTAGGGACCATATGCATAATGATATTAGTTGCTTACGTCTATTTTTACATATCTAGAAGTCGAATATTCGAAAAATAACTTACTAGCAATCTAGAAGATTGATATAAATATTAGAATGAAGAAAGTATGGTTGATATTAGAAAACTTGTTTTTAGTTCCAAAGTTAACTAAATCTGTCGAAACAGTCTTTGTGGACATCGTTTAAGAAGAAAGTTAATTAAACAAATTTTAGGAAAAGTTAGTTATCTATAGGAAATAAAAATTGATGTGTAATTATAAGCAAGTCTAAAAAATACAAAAAATAAGAAGCTGTCTGAGTGATATTGAATAATTATGTATAAGTTAATCGTAGCATTAAATTATAGCAATATTATACATATCCCAGTGCCGAGTAGAAAATCGTAAAATAAAGTTATAATGAAAAAAAGTATTATTTAGCTGTATTCTTGGAAAAGCAATCACAGTAAAACTTTTTAATTCTTAAAATTTTATTGTGGAAATGGAAACATTATGATTTATTGTTAAGTTAAATCTTTCGATATAGACATACTTAAAAAGAATACAGCTACAGTTGAACGTTAAGCCAAATTAGAAGTATTATTATAAACGATCCTCAGGATTTATCCCAATCGTTCGTTGTTATGTACATCTTCAGATTTTAGATAATAAACAAGAGTTGGTCCAATCATACTTTTATTCTATTCAAATCTTTCATCCTTCACTTTTATCTCCTTCATATTATGGCACTTGAAAGTAAACTAACATTGAACAAACTAGCAAACCATCATGAATGTTTGTGTTATTTTATTTTATTAAATCTCTAACTCAACATCGATACTTTATTCTTATTTATCTTATTTATAACATAATGCACATATTTTCCTACTCGATCCTAATTACTTTAATTTCATGTATATATATATCAATATAAAACTTATATCAAGTTTATGAAAAAAATTACTAATCGTACAACTTATACAGGATGTATGTACATATTTGTTATATTTATAACATAATCAAAAAGAAAAATAATATGAAAATGTTTAAAAGATTATAACACACATTCCTTGCCGCAATAAAAGAAATAAAATTTTCTTAAAAACGTAAAACTAAATTACGTGTCGCCTAACCTAATTTGCATGCAGAGTACGTGCTAGTTTCAAAATGCACAATAGAAAAAGGTAGTCGCAATACAGGCAATATAAAATAAAATATAACCTCTTTTGTTATTTTAAAAAATATCATTCGTCGTAACGGGTCATTCAATAAAGATCGATGAAAATTTCGTAAAGATCACATTATATTTATAAACACATTTTATTTGTTCGTATGTATATCGTTAATAAATGGTGATATAATAATGACAATGAAATGTATAGCGCCGAGCATAAAACGAGCAGTCATATTATAATTATTATTAATATTCCTCTTATAATAATCTTACTGTACTGGATGTATGCCTACCTACTGTGCTTGCAACGTTTATGGTCTTGTCCAAGTGTTTCTTATTACTTCTTTTTTTTTCTTTCCTTTCCTCGTCACTAATCTTTAATTATTTATTACTTTACTCGTACTCGTAATAATCCATAATAATTAATAATAATAATAATGTAACCACGGGTGTAAACGTATGCGTTGTCCTAAGGTATAAACAGCTTCCACACACTAATTGTTAACTTACTTGTTTTTTCCATTTGTCCTTTATGTAATCGTAATCGTCGTTTAATTATAGTAAACTACTTAAATATTAATTATATTAACCTCGTGTCTTCGTGGAATTATTTTTCTGGCCAACGTTTTATTAAAAGTCGGCCTCGTACAAAAAACATTCAATTCCCGTTCGATATAACATTATACATCAAAATGTCTGTACGTGTGTGTGTTGTGTATGTTTATGTGTTTTTTTTTTCTTCATTTCGATGCGTGAAAGACACTTTTTTGTATTTTTTCTTTTACTTCGTTATGTAAAATTTTTCTCACACATCCGAAGAAAAAAGTCATCTAATAAAGTTGAACTAACACACGGGGGCAGCACAGCGTTTCGTTCGTTTTTCTTTTTCTTTTTTATTTTTGTTTCGTTTTCGAATATCGAAAAGAAACCCAGACAGAGAAGATTAATGTTGCCTGTGCCTCTTTTCGAGTTTCTTTATTTTTTATTTGTATCTTTTTTTTTGTCTCGACGAAAGAAAAAGAAGAAACAAAGCGCCTAAACGACTTTAAGACGTGACGACAGCGCCGTTTCCGCTTCCGGCGACGCCGTCACTCGGATTGCATCCGTGTGAACGCGATACGAATATCTCTAATAATATACAAATTATCGTAAATATCATCATTTACTGTCCGATCCGTAATCGCTGATGATTCTTCGTTCGTCGGAGGGACGTTGTCAATAAATTGTAAAAAGTACGTAATTCGACGTATGTGGGCACGAGAACATTTTACTCGAAATGAGTCATACAAAGAAATATAAAAAGTATGAAAATTCAAGGTAAAGTCATAGACATCGTCCTTCTTTCTGACACATATGACGATTCGATACTTGATCTCTGATTACTGTTGCGTGAAAAACGATTTTTCAGAAATCACTCGTGCATTCAAATGTATCAGAAAGGAAACTATATCACCTATCAAATGATAATTCAAATGAAGTCTGATTGTCTGAAACCAATGATTAAAAGGAATAAAAGTTTGTGTACCGAATAGTAATTCTAAAATTACGAACGTATATGCAATTAAAGAATACGATCAAACGAAGATCACAATGTGATATACGGTACGTTGCTGGAACGCTAGGTACGTAACTCATTTTGCACAGTAAGAGCCAATGGTGTAAGAAACGACCGCAAGACGCCTTCTCCCTGAATCAGTGTCAGGGGTGCTATCTATCGTCGTGTATCGTAACCATAAATGATCTCGCTCCATTGCATTAAACTGCATCGTATACAACACACATCATGTCTGTTTGCACGATGGTACGATGCATTCATTTTGGCCACTGTTCATTGAAGATCTCTCACACACCTGAATGTGTCAGGCTATTGCATTTGATATATTGCAAACCTACGATATTCTAATGACTTATGAGATAGCCCCGTTCTGTTATTATTCTTCTCGCTTTATCTATCTTATATTACTTTTCGTGGGGGGAAAAAGGGCCCTGGGTCGAATATAATAATAAAGTTTGTTGTTCGATTCGGGTGTGCTGGGGTGTCGATGAGAAATGGCGTAACGTGTTACGAACGTATATAAACGAAGTATTTAACATTATGAATCTATTAATATCTATACGTATAAGTAGAGAGCTCTAAACCTGAAATCCCCCTACCCTTTTTTTCTTACACTCGTTGATTCTCTCGCTCGCTCTTTCACGCACAGTCTAACCCCTCCTTCTTTATTACTCATGCTTTCTACACACATACGCACATTCTTTCTCTCTCTCTTTCTTTCACACACGCATTTTTTCTCCTTTTCTACTTCTTGCTATCAATCATTCACACGATAGCTTTCACACACGCACACATACACACGCATTCTTCCACCCACCCTTGCTTTTCTTTCTCAACCCCCCTCCCCCCTCTTTATATCTCACCAGATCACACCCCCAATTTTCTTCAGTTTTGAATCTTCTTTTTCCATTTTTCCCTTTTCTTGAACGACTTATTTGCTTCATGTCCTCTCGAGACAGCTTATTTCCCTTCCTTTTCCTTTTCTTTGTTCTCATCTATCTCCTTGTCCTTTTCCAGCTCTTTCTCTTCTTTATCCGCCTTTTCCTTGTCACCCTCCTTTTCCTCTTTTGATTCCTTCGACTCCTTTACATCCTCTTTGCCTTCCTTCTCCTCCTGTTTCTCCGGTTTCGGTAAATGCGTGTTCATGTCAAGGGTGGAGCAGATCTCATCCCAATCCGGGAAGCATCGCTCCTTCATGCGCGAGCAGTGCCCCACCAAGTTTGGACAATTCTCCTGCATATAGTCCCGCAGACTGTACGGCGTGTCTTTGTCGATGTAGAGAATTTGGGCAAGATGCGCGAATGTCACCACATCCAACTATTTCGAACGAGGTAACAAAGTAGTTCATGAGAAATCGAATAAACATGATTTTGATGAATAAATTAAAATTTACCATAGTCGGTTCGTCCCCGAAAAAGAAGGGTTTGTCAGCAAGCATGTCGGAAAGAACCTTGAGATCGGCGCAACCAAATTGGGACACTTCTTCTGGAGAATACACACCCATACCCTGCGCCTTTACTTTCTTTGCACCCTGGAACATTCGTACATTGGTACATGTAGGTTAATTTAAATGCCCGAAACATTCTATTTTAATATTAATTCATAATATTAATTCAATTTAATTTAACTGTTACTTCAACGAATTTTAACATCAAGTGATGCTTAAAAATCATTTTTATTTAATGATGCGTTTAGATACAGTTCATGTCAGAGCTCATCAATCAAGATCATTTCTTTTCTGCAAATGAGGAAAGTTTAATATTGATTTTAAAAATTCTGTGTTCTGCTTTTCCAATCAAAACATAATAATTGATACAGGATACTTAACATTTTGTAAATGCAACAGTAAGATTTACCTTACGTCCAAACGTAAGCTTGAAGAAAAAGTTGAGAATGCCATTGGGAATACGAGTGCCGAGCACGTGCTGAAGGTTCACCTTGTAACCCTTCAGAACCTGATCCAGATTCTTGATGCGCCAGCACATGACTACCCAAACTAGGTGGTTTTCGATCATCGATATCATTGCATGAGAAACGCTTCGTTGCTCAGACGTAAGGGAGGCATCCAGGTCCTTGCCGAACTTTTGACTCAACTCGCGAAGAATGATCGTACTGTCCGCAATTTCTTCGCCGTTCAGTTCGACAAACGGCAACCCGCCTTTCTTGGAGCGGAACTTCATCTTATGATCCACATTCTGCAACAATCACGAAAAAAACTAAAATTTTTGATCTTTTCCTTTCATCAACGTCATTAATCGTTAAAACTAACTTTTCAATTCGGAAAATTTAAAAGTTTGCAATTTCTCGCTATAAATATTCGATATGTTCAATTATCCATCATGAAAACATACGCCGTGATTTGAAATTACTAACATTTTCGATACGACAGCTGATTATTTATTAGATGGAGATGGAATTACTTATTGCAATTTTGATTATTATTTCTATCAAAACGAAAATACAATTTTTCGTGTTTTATGCGTTGTACAATATTAAGTTTTTCATTTGGTACATAAACGTAAATGAAAAATAAACGAAAATGTAAACGTAATTTATTACACTGAATATTTGGAACACAGTGCTTGAAAGCGCATGCGCGTGGATTCGGAAGCCCTTGCGATACAAATGGTGGATTCACAGGAAAAAGACCGGAAAAAGTAAAGGAACACCAAGGGGCTTCGATAGCGTTATGACTAAGGCGCTCGCTTCTGGTGGAGTTTGGTTCGAGTTCAAATCCTAACGCCGCACATGAAAATACTTTCTCAGCTTTATATTCTTCCATTACTTTCCACAAGGAAGAAGGTTATTTCTCTTTGTCGATGTGAATTTTGTAAGTGATTAAAATATTGTACGATATTATGAAAGATAGGTTAAAGTTTTCGGATAGTTTAGTCACTGAGTATATACAAATAATTACTACACCTACATCCACACATTTCTATTTATATGCACCCCAGCGCTACATATGGAGTACATCATAAGTCAATAAGATATCTGGTGTCCTTTACAGGTGGATTATGTTACAAGTGGCATTGATAACAATGATATACGTTTATAGAAGATGTTTATATTTTATGAAGTGTGAAGAAGGGAACGATTTTGAAGAGAATTGATTAATATTACAAAATAAATTGATCTTCTATAAATAGAATATTAAAATTCCAGTTAGTTAAAATCAATCATTGAATATGATTGATATAACAAAGAATCGACAGAAGTGAAAATTAATATGGATGTGGACCGCTTTTTTCAATCTTAGTTTACAATAGATACAATTTAAAACATTTGTCATGTGAATAACATCTATATTGCTGAGATTTCACCTGAGTACATAAGCAACTTTCTAGCTACTTGTTAGCCATCTGTTAACACATTTTATTGTGAATGAATAGTGACCTAGAATTTCTCGATTTGCGACTTTCTTTAAGCAAATTGGCACACAATGATAAATGACATAACGTATATGCATTTTAGTGTTCATTTCTTGACATGTCTAGTGGATACAATTTTGTATGATTTAATGCAAAACTATTCCACGACGATGAAAGGAGAATTAGACGAAATATGGATACAACTTCCCCAATGTATTCTGCATACTTTTACACAAAATTACTGGTTTTAATGTAGGTAAGTTTTTAATCTATTCCGTTTTAAATATAAAATCGTACGTGTATACAACTACATTGTATCGTCTTGAATAATTTCATAAAATACCGCATGGCGTCGCTGTCGATCCACAGGACCAATGCATAAGACGCGAAACCGTGGCCGATACAGGGACAAGGAATTGCCGAGAAAACGATTCTCGTGTCAATTACGAATCGACAAGTGGAACAGACCATGTGCGTTCGTGTCTATAGAAATCACCTGAATTAACCGTACAATAACGCACGAAGAGACCGGAGCATCGAGTCCGGTCCCACGAAAAGGGGAACAACGTCGCGATATATACGTGGGAATATCTCTTCGGAAAGAGCTCATCATCGTCGGCAATCAGCGAGTACCGGGTGCAGCTGCACCGTCATCGGAAATAAACGAAAGTAAGTCGAATAGGAAGATCTCTGGGTTCGGAGAAGGGGGCGTGAGGACAGGCCCTAAAGACTGCAATACGCAGCCTCCGTGCGCATCTTTGTGTGTGAGTGATAATAGCGATGATGGAAACGTCGACGTTTGCGACGACGACGATGGAGGTGCAACGGCTGTTTTGCAATGTTAGCGCGTCGTGATAATGGTGAATAACGAACGGGTGGCACAAGGGGTGGGAGTAGAAGGTGGAAGGTGGGGAGGGGTGATGAGGAGAAAGAAGTTAGACGAGAGAAAAGAGAAGAGCGACAGAGGATATATCCCAATACGAATTTCAGGGAGAAAAAATCTAGGGAGAGAAACTCGAAGAGGGAAAAGAAACAAGAGAAAAAAAGACAAACAATCAAAGGGGAAAGCAAATCGAAAAAAAGAGAAGCTTAAACTGGAGGGCAAAAAAAGAGGGACTGATACACATGCACAACTGAAGGAGAGATATAGGAATATGGAGTAGATACACTGTTCGTTGGAATAATATTGGAAACGAGCATTCAAGCTGGACATTGAACTCGCGTGGTGTGTTTGAAACAAATATCGTACACCGTACGACGACAGTAAATGGAAAAAAGGACGTGATAGGCGCGGAAGCCGTACCCGAACAGGGCAATGACTTGAGCAGAAAGCGCGAAAACCCGATATGCCGTAGCGGAATTAAATATCCTCTGGCGTAAAATCGATGAACGCGGTCGGTACTGATTAATTCGCAGGTCCACGGTTTCGTAGATGGCGTAGTGATCGCGGCGCACCAGCAGCCAACGACGATCGTTAAAAACGTCCGCACGCATTCAAACGCGCATAATAACCGGGAGAAAGAGAGTGAACCGCCGGTTGAATATCGCAGAGAAGCGTGTATCAATTTCGAGAGATGAAAAGTCGAGCAGAGGCGGAAGGTAGGTGGAGTACAAATTACCGCGGGGCAGCTGCCCTCCTCTCGCGATTCCAGTCGAGTCGGATGTATATACACGAGTCCATTGCGCATGCGTATTCTCTGTATACGTTCGCTTGCACAACGAGGGGAGCTGGGGTTGAAGGGGGAAAACAAACCGACGCGAAAGGAAAAAATAAATGCGTGAAGGTAAGACAAGAGCGAGAGGGGAAGGGGAGCGAGTCAAAGGGAGAGATAACTAACCAAAGTAATTTTCTTTAGACGAGAAACATTCCAGGAGAACTAGACTTCGATAGAGCTGCAGAAACAGTGGAGAGAAAATCGAATAGAAAAATAGAGGAAAAATATCGACCAAATCAAGAATCGACGTGGAAAATACGAAACTGTCAAAAAAGAGTCACATACATTGGAAAAAGAAGAGTCCGAAAAAGAAAAAGATGAGACGAGAAGGAACGAGAATGTAAAAGAGAAGCCAGAGAGGGAATCAGGGAGTGGTACAACACCGAACCATCAAGGAGTGGGGAAAGCGTGGGGTTAGAGAGGGAGAGGAAAAGAGAGAGAACATGAAAAACGAGAAAGAGCGAGAACAAGACAAAGTCAAGTAGCGAGGGGGAAGAGGAGGAGAAGGATAAACGGAGGGTGAATGGGTGGGTGGAAGGGAGAAGAAACATGCCGGAGGACGATGAACTCTGGCGGTAGGCAGCTTCCGTCGCCTGGCAACGTCCTCCTCCCTTTCCTCCTCCTCTCCCAGAGGCTCCAAGCCGTTATGCCGTGGTATCGTACGTAGGCAGTCCTCGTCATGGACGTAGTAGTCGTGTCATCGTCTTCGTCGGTGACGATCATGGTAGTCGTTGCTGTATTTTCACGTAGTGGCTCGCAGCTTGCGCTGCGTATTGATCGTACGGGATGCTGCTAGCTGCTGCTGGTTGCTGGCTGCTCCAGTGCCAGCTAACAGTGAGCTTTTGCCACAGCCCTACACCAAGGACCAATAGGACCACCTCGTTTGCTTTCTCCTTCTCTCTCTCCCTCTCTTGGCTTTTTACTTGCTTTGTTTTTTGGAAGTTGAATATACACTTTTGACGTTGATTAGGAAGAAATATTTGAGTGATTGTTAAGAATACAGAAATTAAGACATTTCAAATTTTTTAATTCCAGGAAAATATGGACATACATTAGAGCGAGGAAACGTGGAAAAGTTGAAACTAGGAAAAGTTTTTCTTATTTGAGGGCGATTTACATTTTGAGAATATCTATTTTCTCTAAAACGCTACAGACGCCTAAGTAATATTCTACATTTACATTTAGAAGATTCATTGACGGCAGTTTATATCCATCTAAATATACACATAAGATATACGAGAAAATCCTGCCTGCAACTTTACATAATATCATCCACATACTCAGAATCCATCAAGCGTGTAGCACATGCGCCAGATGTGTGCAAAATGTGAACATTAAACCAACGACCCAGCTATCGTGACTTCTCTCCCCGTCAAATGTCGAACCTTCATCTAATTATACCACAATATGTCTCAGAATAACCCAACTTCACCATCAAATATACCTATTCACAGACCACAGCGATACTATGCTTTTCTCGATATAAAACAGAACAGCGACATATTTCATAACATCCTTTTACACGTGTAACATGCAGAAGAGATAAACATATCCATGATTCCATAAGTAACCATTAACTACCTTTATCATACTATCTATATTAACCTCACTATAACCCTCCGTTACACCCAAGAAATTAACGTAGCATATTTTCCAGCATGACTATACGATCTTCGAAAAACAATTAGAAATGGCATGGTACATACAAAGGGGCATAATTATTACCACGAGGTTTCTATTGTTTGCCATTACAAGAGGAAAGCGCGCGTTCACCGACACCTACGTCGTGCAGAAATGTCGGCCGGCTATCAATGGCGGAACACGTCGACTCGATGAAAATACCGGCGAGAGGTGAATGGTTGTGCACGTGAAAATAGTTTCACTACACAAGGCTAGCTATGTTGTAAAGTCGGCCGCTGCCGGGAAGAACCGATCGGCCGAAAACGAAAGCAAACGCAGCCGTGACTGCCAAGTCCAACGAACCTGCCACTTGGCAGCCGACATCTATACTTAAGAGTGTCTTTGATACCGAACTCGCTAAACCTAAATCCGCTTTAACCGTTGGTGCTGGTCCGAAAACTGTCACTGGCAGCCGTGGAATTACTAATC